TGCCTTTTATTTCCTCTTTCTTTAATCTTTTCCTTTTTCTTGTTTTTCCTTTCCTGTTCTACTGACATTGCAGTCTTCATATAATCGGTAAAACTCCCTGCATGAATTATAATAAAGCTATTTATATGCATAAATCAAGCAGAACAATATGGGGATAGCCGTACTGCTCCCCTTTTGAAAAAAAATCTGTTGGGCTCTTTTTGGCATCAAGACAATTATTCTCATTGCCAGACAAGACACTGTTTTAAAAGATAATAATAATAAAAATAAAATATAAAATTTAAGAGGATTGGGTTTATTCCAGGAATAAACTAACTAGCTAACAGATATAGATATAGCAATCCTTTTGATTAATGTTAACTAGCTTAACATATTGATAATTGGCCTGTTTGACCTTTTCATCATTTAATTAAGAAGTCTTTTTTTTCCAAAGATTGTTGAACATCTTTTTAAACAAAGGTTTATTTGTAAAAAAAAAAAAAAACTGCAAAGTTTTTTGCTTCTTGCTGCCGGTTTGCTGAACACCCTGAGGCTCATGTTCATCACCATGTCTGTGTCGATCAAACTTGAACTTCTGCCTTAGCATTTGTACAATCATGGGGCGTTCAAACACAACTCAAAAAATGAAGTTACTGCACCAAAATAACGGGTTTAACTGTTGTAACGGCTAGACAAGAGCGGTATTTTGCCACATTTTGTTTTTTAAATCCAAGGAAAGGCTGTGGCTTGCTTAAAAACAATAGGCTATGTGAATGGGCAACAACACAACAACTGCTCAGTGTTGTATGTTGTGTTTTTGGATACCTGCGAACATGTCAGGTTGATTGACAGTTTCACCTCTGAGTCACAAAAGTTAGCCGCATTTGGCGGGTGCCAACTTCAGGGCTTAGTTCCCTTAAAATGCGATGTCAGAGGACTATTTGTTGCTTATTATAGGGGAGCGTCACTAGGCATAGAATTTTCAGCAACCAAAATCTACAAATCAATTCAAAGAGACTCTATTTTAAACTTGAGAGACTCACAAAGAGAAAAGTCAAAATGAGAAACATTTTATTGAAATAAATGAAATAAGTTCTTTTAGGCACGGACCCTGGCACAAGACTTGGATACTGGGAATGGATACGTGCTATAAAAAGTAGCTTAGAAAAAAGAAAGGGAGCTAGAGCTAAAGGCCAAGCTATGAGAATTCAGAAAATCACATTTGAGAAGACGGAAGGAGTGGCTTAAGCCTGGCATACACTGCATGATATTTTAATTTGTTGCACGCTGCTTCAACTCAAACTGTACGACAAAGCAGCAGGGTTTAAAAGTTCACAGTTTAAGATGTATGTTCTCACACTGTTTGACCCGACGCTCTGATGCAATCTATGAGTTCTGATGCGAACTGGAGCTATATAAATAAACTGAATTGAAATGAATTTAATTAAATGCAGAGAGTGAATTTTGTTGCTCTGTACTTGTGAAAGTGTAATGACAATTTAAAAAAGCTTAAAAAAGAAAGCTGGAATGTGCGCCTGCTTTGGATAAAACTTCTGTGCCATTTATTATTTGGATTCCCCAAGTTTCATTCTGTGTTTTTGTTAAAAATTATAATGCATTTAGCAAATTTAACCACAAAATGCCATTATCTATCCCAGTATTCATTTTTGACACCACTCTTTAACTGATCAAAGTGATAAGCACTGTCATGACAGCTTATTATGTACGGACACTATACAGAATCACATATATAGTTTAGTCTACTGAATTCCATTACTGTGTGTTTGTGTTAGTGGTAGATTAATTGATTTATTGATCTAATGGATGAATTACAGCCTTAGAGGAGTGTGTTGGGTTAGAGGAAAGACTACTGTGTCAACATGGGAAAGTTCCTCAGCTAACATCTGCACTTTAGTGGTTCAATTCAATTCAATTCAATTCAGTTTATTTATATAGCGCCAAATTCACAACACATGTCATCTCAAGGCACTTTACAGTTCAACCAGATCATACAGTCAAATTGATACAAAGTTTTCTATCTAAGGAAAACCAGTTGATTGCATTGACTCATTGACTCAAATACAATCCCCCACACTAAGCATGCTTGTAGCGACAGTGGAGAGGAAAAACTCCCTTTTAACAGGAAGAAACCTCCAGCAGAACCAGGCTCAGTGTGAGCGGCCATCTGCTGAGGCCGACTGGGGTTCAAGGAGACAGAAGCAGAGATACAAAAAGCAGCTGTAAAAGGCGGCCCCGTCCAGGAAACACACAGCCAGGCAGACGAGCTCCAAGGCAGCTCCCATGCCAGAGGACGAAGAGAGCACATCCACTCAGTCACGGTCAGAGAAACAGGACCACACTGGAAAACAGGCCGATCTCCAACATCTATTAACAAGGGTGTTGATAGAAGCAGCACAGCTGATGTTTTTTTCCAGGATGACGTCACAGCCAAACAGGAACAGACGAGGCAAAGCTACTCTGAGGAAAAGCAGAGAGAGCAGAAGGTTAGAGATTGAACTAACAGATTCTGCAGAATAGGAGAACAGAGAGAGAATGAAGCAGAATGATGAAATGGGGGTCCCTATGTCCTCCAAAAGTCTAAGCCTATAGCAGCATAACTATAGAGATAGCTCAGGATAACCTGAGCCACCCTAACTATAAGCTTTATCAAAAATGAAAGTTTTAAGCCTAGCCTTAAAAGTAGACAGGGTGTCTGCCTCACGGACTAAAACTGGTAGTTGGTTCCACAGGAGAGGAGCCTGATAACTAAAAGATCTGCCTCCCATTCTACTTTTAGAAATTCTAGGAACCACTAGTAAACCTGCAGATTGAGAGCAAAGTGCTCTGTTAGGAACATAAGGAACAATCAGATCTCTGATATAAGATGGAGCTTGGCCATTTAAGGCTTTATATGTGAGAAGGAGGATTTTAAATTCTATTCTTGATTTAACAGGAAGCCAATGAAGAGAAGCCAGGATAGGAGAGATATGATCTCTCTTTTTCATTTTCATTAGAACTCTGGCTGCAGCATTTTGGATCAGCTGAAGGCTTTTAACTACAGTTTGTGGACTTCCTGATAGTAAAGAATTACAATAGTCCAGCCTTGAAGTAACAAATGCATGGACTAGTTTCTCAGCATCACCCCTGGACAGGATATTTCTAATTTTTGCAATGTTCCTCAGATGAAAGAAGGAAATTCTAGAAACCTCTTGGATATGGGATTTAAATGACAGGTCCTGATCAAAAATAACACCAAGATTTTTTACTTTATTATCTGAAATCAGTTTAATCCCATCCAAATGAAGTGACTGGCTAATCAGTTTCTTTTTCAGAGACTCTGGTCCAAAGACTATAACTTCTGTTTTGTCTGCATTCAGAAGCAGAAAGTTAAGAGTCATCCAGGTTTTTATGTCTTCAAGACATGCCTGTAATCTATGTAATGGGTTAGCTTCATCTGGATTTATAGACAGATATAGCTGGGTATCATCAGCGTAACAGTGGAAATTAATCCCATGCTGTCTAATAATTCTACCAATTGGGAGCATGTATAAAGTAAAGAGAATTGGTCCTAGCACTGATCCCTGTGGTACTCCACAGGTAACCTTTGAGCGTGTTGAAGATCTATCATTAACATGAACAAACTGAATTCGATCAGATAGATAAGATTTAAACCAGTCTAGTGCTGTTCCTTTAATTCCAACAAAATATTCAAGTCTTTCTGAAAGAATATTATGGTCAACTGTATCAAATGCAGCACTAAGATCCAACAGGACGAGCACAGATACAAGTCCATTATCTGAGGCCATGAGAATATCATTAGTGACTTTCACCAGAGCTGTTTCAGTGCTATGATGAGCTCTAAAGCCAGACTGAAACTCTTCAAAAAGTTCATTATGGTGGAAGTGATCGCAGACTTGTTTGGCAACTACTTTCTCAAGAATTTTGGATAAGAAAGGAAGATTGGATATAGGTCTATAATTGACCAAGTCATCTGGGTCAAGAGACGGTTTCTTAAGCAGAGGTTTAATTACAGCAATCTTAAAAGCTTTAGGTACATATCCCTGTAACAGAGATAGATTAATCACATCTAAAATGGAGGAGGAGATCAAAGGGAATACCTCCTTAAATAACCTGGTTGGAACTGGATCTAACATACAAGTTGAAGGCTTAGATGAAGACAATAATTTTGCTAATTCAGAGAGTTCAACTGGATCAAAGCAGTCTAAACCCGGTTCAGATTCCATGACTACCTCAGGTACAATCGCGGATAGAGGAGTGCTTATGATCTTATTTTTAATAAGATCAATCTTATTTATAAAGAATCCCATAAAATCATTGCTGCTAAGAGCAGGTGGAATGGACGGTTCAACAGAGCTATGGCTCTGGGTGAGTTTGGCAACTGTATTAAAAAGAAATCTAGGATTATTCTTATTCTCCTCTATTAATGAGGAGAAGTATGCTGCTCTTGCTTTACAAAGGGTCCTCTTATACAGCAGTAAACCATTTTTCCAGACTAGGAAGGACTCTCGCAGGCCTGTGGAGCGATATTTTCTCTCCAGTTTCCTAGCATTTTGCTTCAAAGTACGCAGCTCTGCATTAAACCAAGGAGCAAGCTTTCTATTTTTAACGGTTTTCATTTTCAAAGGAGCTGCGTTGTCTAAGGCAATACGCAGAGAACTAGCAACCCCATCAACAAAATCCTCAACCTGTGAAGGGGAATAAGCTAAGCTTTTGCACTCTGCAGCACTGCTCAGTGACACAGAGCAGAGAGAAAGTGAAGCAGATTCTTTAAAATTTATAACTGCACTATCTGATAAAGATCTACTTTCAGCTCAGGCAGCTCTGCTGATTTTCATGGAGCCCAGAGACTATCTCTGCATCTTGAGGATTTGTGGAGTCTCCTTTCCGGTTCTATCTTCCTCTTTTTCCCTTTTTTTTTTTGACCTGATCTTATTTCTGTTTTAATATCTCCTGTCCGTAATCCTTATCCGTCTTAATGTGCTTCCTGTCGTCTCCTGCAGCTCACAAGGAGACATCTGAGGACTGTCAGAGCTGTCTGGAGTGTTCCCGGGACAACGGCTGTGTACGCTGTCCAGAGCGACTCTTCCTGTTCCTCCAGAGGAAAGGGATGTCTCATCATGGAACTTGTCTCCACTCCTGTCCTGCTGGACACTTTGGACAGAGAGGGAGGGACGTGAACCGCTGCATGAGTATGTATAATTATGTGGTTTATGAAGAACTGCCAAAGAAAAGTTCAGATACATTTATTTAACAAACATTTTTAGATAAGAATTTGAATTTCTCCTCACTTTCTTTGTTGGATTTTAATCAGCCAAACCTTTTTGTTATAGTGTCAAATAGACTTTATCAATAGATTTTCAGGCTTTCTGAAGTTCTTTTAAGGTATATTTGATGTTTGGCTGCTTTAGTTCCTGTTGATTTTTAAAGCATAACTTTCTCCGTGTGCTTAAAAAGGAAAAAAAAAAACAATAGGATAGTAGGTGAAGACAGTTGTGTCTAACAAAAACCCTACAAACACATCCACTCCTAGTTTTTAGTGTAACTGTGTAAATGTGAGTGCCTTGATCCAAACAGTTAAGATTTATAAGAATTTCGTCCCCCTTATTCTGGGCCTTCCTTATTTTGTAGTATCTGGGGTTAAGCTGCTTTTCAGAGGAGCTGGTGGAGTTAAACCCACCTGTTCAGGCCGTAATCTGATTGCATGTCAATAAGCAGACAAAGATAGATTTCTCATGTTTTATGCTATTCTAAATGTGTTAATTATAAACCTTAACTTAAGTTATTTGACAATACTTTTTTTTTTACTTTTGTTTGAAGTATTTTGAGATGGACAACAGATTTCAGGTGCATTATATTTTGTTAGTAAGTATTGTCCTTTTTTTTATGTAATTATCATCATTACCTCCATCATGGCTTAGAACCTCGTCTTTCTCTATGACCGCTCAAACGGCTAGTAGAACCTGCACGCTTCTCACTTGCATAGGCGAAATCAAACTCATTTGCATGTCCTTGTGCAGCAGTCTTTGTAGATTACCAACAACACACCCACTTATGGCAGATAGAAAAAATACAAACAAAATTGCTCATGAATTTTAGTGCCTATTATTTGGAACCCTTAAAGATCAGGCACTTAATGTTTGTTTAGCTCACTGTAAAGAAGGCTTATTTTGCAAGGAATGCAGCTGTAAAAAAATGCTTCCACCTGCAGTTCATTTGTGATCCGTAGAGGGTGTCATGTATTCTTTCCAGTGCAAATCGGATTTCAACCAACTTAAACCTGCTGGAATCTCAGATATCACAGAGTGTTACAAGCAAACAGAATCAGAAACTATAGCCCCATTTACACTACCCTTTTGAAACCATTAAACAATTGGTCTGAGCAGGGTAACCGAGAAAACTGTTGAGTGTAATCGGCACGCAGAACTGAACCGGACTGTGCCAGATACAACTGAACTGCGCTAACATCAGTAGTAACTAGTTAATCGGTAGGGCTCTGCGCGGTTCAATTCTGGCTTGGTTCTCAGATAACAAAGAGCGTGTAAGCAGACTACGTCATCTCCTTACAGTCAGTAATCAGACATTTCAGACATTCGTATAATTACAAGGTTCCCTACTGTGCAACACGATTTGCTGTGATGATTCTGCTTAGCAGTGGATGAACCTCAATATCTGTTGTTGTTTCCTGCATCTGTAATCCCTGAATAGACTATAATTTTTCGTATCCACTTCCCAAAAGCCGACTCTGCAAGTAAATTCACCAAAGGCAGCCTTATTTGCCTGACTCTCTAAATATCACAATGATAACAAAAGAAGTATTCCTGAAAGTTAGGGACGCCAGCTTGTTGGTTTGCTGTTTGTTTCTCTCTAGAGAGCAGTAGTACCGTTGATCGCCACTAGGAGGGGAGGAACTGTGCTAGCGTGGTGTGTAAATGATCGTAAGGAACCAAGCTCGGAACTGTTAACTGATCCAACCTCGGTCCGAACTCGGCACGGTTCGGTTTTCAGGAGGTGGAGTAAATGGGGTACATGTCCCATTAGATAAGGATTTCCAAACCTTTCGTGATGTGGGCCATGATTCTTATGTAAAAGGGATGTATTGAGAGCAAAAAGAAAATACAAATTTAAAATCTGAAATAACTAAACTTCTTATTATAATTATTATCTTATTATAATTCAAATTTCTTTGAATAAAAAACTAAGCAGGCAGTATTCTAATTGAACAATTAAACTGTCAGCCATACTGTAGTAAGGGGATCTGAAAGGATTCTAGGCCCAAAACTTTAGAAGGTTTGTGTCTTTTGAAGATTTTTGTGGGCTTGAATAGAAAAAAAAAACAAAAATTGTCCTGTTTCCAGCAATTAGATAGGGATTTTTGTATTAACTAATTAAAAGCAGATGATGGTACAACAAACTTCTCTTATAAATCAAAACAACTGCCAAGATAAGGTCCTTACTATGAATTCAAAAGTAAAGGGAAATATTGGTTAAGCTTTTATTGCATGTGCATGAATATTTAACTAAATCCAGAATAATTTTCTCTTCTTTAAAAAGAGAAATTCTCCATAAATTAGAGTCCAAATCTTTACCCTTTCGATTTGCAATCAGGGGCAACAAAAAAAGAAAATCAGTTCCTGTGGTGTTAAGGTGAAATAATAGTATACTCTGTTCCTACATCTCCTCCCCAGGATTCATTTGATTGAGATTGAGAGAAGAAGCCACAAATAAACAGGATTTAGAGATAAAATTCATTTATCTCATTTAGGAAATGGATATATCCATGAGACCAAACAAAAAGCTACCGCTTTCCCTCAAAATGTTCAGAAGCAGCCTGACGCATTCTAAGTCACCTCATCTTTTTAAAGATGCACAGTGTAAACTCCCATGAAGCCAAAAATTAGTCACATAATTGTTTTATAAACAAGCCTTTTGAGGTAATCTTCAACTTTTCAAAGGTTAACTTTTATTTTAGTCTAACAAATATTTGTTTATGCATAATTACTACATCATATAATTTTTTTAAACTGTGTCCACATTGTTTGATGAGCGTCTCTAGTTTAACCAGGCTCCTTTTTGTATCACTTAATATTTTGCCTTTGAGGTTAACATTTTTGTGTATACTGCAACATTTATTCTATTTTTTAAACGTACATAATAAAAACTCATAGAGGAATTGAGAAATAGTCTTTGCAGCTAACGGTTGTGGACAAAAAATACCAACATTAATGTTGTGTCAGAGCCCTTGTGGGCTTTTCTGTTTTGAACAAAAAGACCTCATAAAAAATAAAAATAAACAGTTTCACACTCAGGATTTTCTGGCAGGTTTTGACATGAAAAGTCAGATCTCAGGGAGATGACTCTTAGAAGAGGAAGCCTTGATGAAAACTCAGAAGTTTACCTTCCTGTTTTTTGATTACTGATGACTTAGAAAAACAGTGGATGAACAGCTTAAGAAATAATAAAGTAACTTTATTGACCTCACATTGGAGAAAGTTACCTCTGCATTTAACCCATCCTCTTGGAGCGCAGTGGGCTGCCATCGTGCAGCGCCCAGGGGAATATAATGTGGGGTTAAGGATTCCTAGCTCTATGCCCTGGAACTAGGGCCGCCACTCCCTTGGTACTATAAATATTCAGTAAACTCCTTGAACACAATGAAGTTTGATTATAGGAAGTGTTTGAAGCAACAATTCTCTCTTTTTTATTTTAACCTCTGTTTATTCGCCCAGAGATGCTTCTCTTTGCCATCATTTGGTTTATTATTTAGGCTACCAAGACAAGGCATTCAGGATGGAGGAACTAGGATGTAAAAGGATAAAGGTCGAGATAAAAACCGCTTCAGGCTCCTCAGGTGCTGCACAGATCAGCTGTGAGAATCATGGGATACATGCTCAACATGAGCCTGAAGCTGTGGAAGATCTCCTTTGTGCTATCAGAGCCTTACTGTAAAAAAAAACCTGTAGAATTTGGAAGCTGAGGTGGAGGCATTTCCTGGAAGAAATAAGGTTGAAATTTATTTAACGTCCTCAGATGGAGCTCTCTGACTGCGGCAAGCTCAATACAGACATTTATACCCTACAAAATCACACACACACTCCACTCAAGGGAACCAACCCACCCCCTGCATAAAGAACTTTCTCACACTTGAACATGAAACAAAGTAACTTCAGTTCATCAAGGCCATACCCTGTTAGGTTAATATATCTTTATCTTGCCAGATGGATCTTCTCTAATCAACAGTCCTCCCCTTCATGGCATGAAGGAAGCTGTGTGACTCATTCTTATCTTTCATGACTTTCGTTTGGAGCCTGCGAGGCTAAGAACAGACATATCTCAACATTTTTTACTCCGCAGACCTCAGCCGCTACAGGTCGCCATCACAGCCCTCACTTCTGGAGTTGGTCCTTGACAAGGAATTTTAGTCTCTTACATAAAAGGATAGACTCCTGAATCCGGCTGTAAAAAAATCCAGTTGTCTTTCACCAATTTAGTAATTTGGACTATTAGCAAAGCTATTAATCACCAAACAAATAAATGTGTCTCTATTCATTTGGATGCTACTAAAAGAAGAGGGAATCCAGTCTGAGTGATTAATTGTTCACTGCGTAAAATAAACACAAAAGACCACGGGTGAAAATACAAGGGTACCTTTATTAGCTAATAATCGCACAGTATTATATCTAATAACTATGCAGACATTTAACAAGGGGTGTGGGGAAAAATCGTTTTTGAGCTATCTGATACAATATCGATCTTTCAGTTCCTAGCATCAATTTTTAAAAAACAAAACATTTTTCACCTAAAACTATAAGGGAAAATGGGCTGTGTGGTGTGGAGGATGCAGCACCTCAGACTGGAAGAAGTTGAGAAGAGTAGTAAGAACAGCAGAGATCATCGGGGCTTCTCTTCCCTCAATTAAAGTAATTACAAATCCCATGCTACCCTAGCCGGCCCCGTGCAAGAACTCACTCCACTCGCTCAGTACCACCCCCCCCCTCCTCCGTACTCCCATCCCCTCATATCCGCACCATGGAGCTGTTCTCGCACCTTCTCCCTCTGGGAACAAGGCTTCAAAGCATCCGAGTGCATGGTCCAGCAGATTCATAACAGTTTCTATTTTTTTTTTTTTTTTTCTCTTATTTTTGTCTTTTTCTTGTTTTTTTCTTGTTTTTTTTTTGTTTTGTCTTCTTTT